CCCCCCCCTTTATTCGATACCATAGAGTAAGAAGAAACTTTCTTGCCTCTGAAGTCACGTTTTGTGCTTCCGATGCTCGTGCAGGGTGTCTTTAAAAGGAAAAAAAAGAACTCATTTAAGAGGTAATAACTCGTTTATCTTTGTAACCAATTTCAGCAAAACTGAGCAAAACAAATTTCAACCAAGTGAATGTCAAATTTGTGAACATGAAAAAAATCAACTTACTCATTTTATAAATATCAGGTTTTTCGAATTTACAGTCAAAATAAAGTAACATGTCAAACTTTGCAATTTCTTAAAAATCAACCGTACCGTGTATTTGTGCATCAAAGAACTAATTTATTTGAAGGAAGGCGAAGGGTGTTTAAACCATGTTACACATGTACTGCTTTCTTTGCTGCTTGTTCTCACTTAATTCTTAAACCACTGTTTGTGGGAGGTTGGAGGGTGCTCTGGTGGGGTTTGCTCCTTTCTTCCTGCCAAACATCTATCGTCCTGATCCCTCCTTTTTTATGTTTGTTACTCTCTTGTAACACCTCCAATCTTCGGCATTTATATGACTTTATTGTGTTGCAAGTGCCGTAAAACTCTTACTAAAGCTAACTAAACCGCTGTTTGTCTTCCCGTGCAGAAATACAACCCGCACTGCCTCCTGATCGACCGGCGCGGCATCTCGGCCTCCTCCGAGAGTGAAGTGGACAGCGGGGATTTGTACCTGAAGCCGGAGGAAGCTCGTGTCTTCTCTTTCTCCTTCCTGCCCCTCACCGAAGATGTGGGGAAACAGATAGAGGTATAGTAGATGTGAGAAACAGATAGAGGTATAGTAGATGTAGAGAAACAGATCGAGGTAAGGAAGATGTGAGAAACAGATCGAGGTAAGGAAGATGTGAGAAACAGATAGAGGTAAGGAAGATGTGAGAAACAGATAGAGGTAGGGTAGATATGAGAAACAGATAGAGGTAAGGTAGATGTGTGAAACAGATAGAGGTAGGGTAGATGTGAGAAACAGATAGAGGTAGGAAGGTATTGAAGATATAGAGAAGTAAATAAAGATAGGTAGGTATGGTAGACGTGAGGAAATCACTAGAAGTAAGAAAGGTGTAGAGAAGTAAACAGAGGTAGGGAGGTAGTGTAGAATTGGGGAGACAGATATGATTATGCTGCTGAATTACCTTTCATTCTTCCTTGAAAAAACCCCCCCCACTTAATCCCCTCCCCCCATCCCCTATTCCCACTTTTTGAAGAACGGGATTTGACTGAGTCTAACAGAGCAGTTGAAATGAGGTGTGTAGAAATTTGAGCGATAAGAGTGTGAATCTTCGAACGTCATTTTCTCAAAACTATGCGTCATAGAGTTAGAGCCCTGGCATTGCATGGGCACGAACTGTCATTTTTTTCATGCCGGTGTGGAATCAGGTGCTTGTCAATTTTTGGACATGTGGAGTTATTGATTTTCTCCTAAAGCTTGTTCATTTGTCTATCTTTCGATGAAAAAAAGCTCATCAATCTTAAATAGAAGTCGAGATATTGGCAACTGAACGAAGTGGGGTCGCCTAATTTCAGATGTAAAGTTAGTGAGAAAATGGCCGCCAAAGTTTGGTGATTTTCAAAGCTTGAGAGTCCTTGGAAACTGGAAATGTTTATTTTTTGTGCTTTTAATCAACATTTTTCAGTAAAATGCACACAACACTTTTTTTTTTAAATGAACGTAAAAGGTGTGAAACTTAACAACAAAAATCTGATAAAAATTGACAAACCGGCGGAAAAATTCCAACATCTTTGATTTTTTTTGTTGGACGAGGATGTCTCACATTTTGATTTTACAAAATTTCTGTCTCCAGATTTCCTCCCTGGCCCTAGAGATGGGTTCGGAGGCCGGCTGTTGTGCCGTGCTGCGCTGGACGGGGGGAGGGGGAGACAACTTACTGCAGCCCCTGGGCCCCGCCCGGCCCGTCATCAAACCGACCACGCCCGGAGTTCCCGTGGACTGGAACGCTTTTGTGGTCAACCCAGTCATCAGGTCAGGGGTTGTTTTGTTTTGTTTTAGTAGAGGTTTTACGACGCTTGCAACTGCATACGGTCATATGAGCGCCAAGGGGTGGATGTCAACAGAGAAGTCCTTACAGGGAATCAGGCTTACTCTGCTCACCTCTCTGGTCTCAACAGCACAAAATCTGCTTAGACTATCAAGGCATCCCGGAAATAGCAGTTCACAAGAGAGTGACAAATAAACAAAAGAAGTAGAGGAAAAATGACGATTGTACGGATGAGGAAAGAAAAAGCAGCAGTTCCCGCTACGTTGTTACGGCACTGTATGAGCATGACACTGATGAATCAGCGAATTTACAATTCTACTGTGCGTAAGAATTTGAGATGTTAATGTCCTCCCTTTGGGAATGGCCTAAAGACACTTCAGTCAGTGGCACTGCCCCGGGGGGTAAGGTCAGAGTTTGGAGGGGATGACGTTTATGTGTCCGGGTCTGTGGATATGAGGTTGTTTATTGGTCAGGTCTTTTGGATAGGATGTTATTTGGATTTTTGGATAGTTGTTCGAAAAGGATGTTATTTGGATTTTTGGATAGTTGTTCGAAAAGGATGTTGTATATTTGTTAGGTTTCTTGGATAGAATATAGGTTATATGTCAGGGTGTTTGGAAAAGATGTAGTTTATTTGTTAGGTTTCTTGGAAATGATGTAATTTATATTTGTCAGGGTGGGTGGATAGGATGTAGTTTCTACATCAAATCAGAGCTGAGTGTTTGTTCAAACTGTAGCTGTGACTGTTTTACTCCCCCATCCACACTTCTCTCTACTTGATCGAACCTGCTTTTTCCTGTTTACTAAATTAATTACTAATTACTAAAACTCTACCTGCATTTTCCTTTGAAGTATAAACCTGTTGAGTGCTTCGGTTTACGTCGCTACACGCTCTAATTATGAGACAGTGTGGTGAAATCAGATGCCCGTCTAAAAAAAAATCAAAGTGAAGAAACTGGCATTTTTCCGCAGGTTTTGTGAATTTTTATCGAATTTTTGTTTTTTGGCTCAGCATGTTTCATACCATTAAAGAACACATTTCTGTGTGGATTATTTGCTGAAAAACAGTGACTAAAGGCACCAAAAAAAAGTAAATTTTCAGTTTCCACAGTCTCTCAAGCTAAGGAAATAACTTATCTTTGGCAGCCATTTTCTCTCTAATTTTACCTCTGAAACCAGGTGACCTCCACCTCCTCTATTCGCAAATGTCTCGACTTGTATTCAAGATAAACGGATATTTTGTTCTTCCAAAGCAAGACTAATGGACAAGCTTTAAGTTGATACCTATAAGTGTACATGTCCAATTATAGACAAGAGCCTGATCCCACCGCGTCGTGACACATTTGTAAAATTGAACCACCCCGCTTTGTTCTCTAGAGTGAACCCGCGTAAGGCTCACGTGGAGGTCAAGTCAAGCCACGAGCCACCGTGTCTGCTCAACGAGATCTACCTGGTCAGCGTGCTGGTGGACAACAAGGAAGACTCCGACATTAAGGACGTCCGGTGAGACACGCACACACACGCACGCTCGCAGGCATGCACGCACGCACGCACGCACACACACACACACACACACACACACACACACACACACACTCAGCACTCAGCGCCTGAATGCGACTGAAAATAACACGAAAAATAAAATATTGTTGTACAAAGATATGAGGACTAGATTTAGAATATTTAGATATCTATATTTTACTTTATCGTTATGATGCCGGCTTGCTGTTAATGGGAGGTAATTGGGGTGAGTTTTTCAGCAAACACGTCCACCCTAGCCTGTAGACAGGGTGTTCCACATTGGTGACCTGCTGTGGTGAGAGTATTGATTTGTTTGTTTCTTTGTGCCTGCGTCATTTGTTTGATTTGTGTCCCTCTCTATGTATTGCTGCAGTGACAAGGAAAATGAACAACACAGGTTTCCCTCACAGGGTACTGCGGGGTCAAATGGGAGTTATAGCACTCATTTTTTCTGCCTTTTTCACCGGAGATCTGATAAACGTGATCAAGTAGGGCTCTCCACCTGTCTCTGTTCTGGGCCATCCTCTCCTCCTACAGCCAGCCATGCCCCATAACGTCGCGACCTCAGTGCTTTCTTGTCCTGTTTCCATTTTTAATAACAGTGGAAACAGTTCATAACAAAGAGTGACCGTAAGAAGAAGTCTCATTTTCTATGTTTAAAAAAATGGAGATATGACGAGAGGGCACCAAGGTCGCGATATGTCTTGAGATCTGCTTCCAGAATTTGTTTCCGAATGGATCTCAGCCTTCCTCTCTCTCTTCATCGACAATAATATGTTGTGAAATAATGAATAAAGTGATGACTGACGACAACCTTTTACAATTTTGTCCTCCCACACAGGGTCTCCCTGGGCCTCCAGGCTTCGGAGGAGAATCAGGATGATTCAAGTGAGTCCTGGTGGTGTTGTTTTCTCTTTTATACTGAAGTGTTTGGGCATTGTTTAGTTACTGGGTCGTTTGCCCAGAGGATAACGATGCAAGGCAGAAATGAAATATATGCCATTGTTCTGTGAAATGACACACCGTAGTCCTGTGAAAGGAAATAGCATTGTCCTGTGACAGGACATACCATTGTGCTTAAGTTTCTCGATAGGGATCAATAAAGTGGTACCAGGACTTTTCTTTTTTTATTATTGTGGGGTTTTTTGTTTTTCTTTGAAAGAATAGATACTTGTCTTATGAAGAGAATAAAGACATAAAGACTTCCGTAATGCTAATTTATATTTCAGTTGTTTTTTAGGCCTGACAAATCTAATGTGATGAGGAAACTAATCCCATCTCTTCTCCTTTTATTTCGATTTTCAGTTCCTGGCAGTTTTGTGAGCGATATCTTTTTTTAACGCCATTTGACTGTCACTTTGTAATCTAGGTGTGTGGTGGATATGATTGTTTATCTGTCGGTTTTCCTGGCAGTTCTTGGACGCAGGATCCTACACACACCTACAGACTTCCAAAGCCTGCTCTACTCTGGCGTTGACCAGATGACAGGGACATGTGGTTACTTGAGGGACGCATTGCGCTGCCAAGAGCAAAATACTCTCATCTTAAGGGGTTTGAAAGCAACAATAACAACAACAATAACATCTGTCAGTTTTCCCGGTATAACTTGTGTCCAGTTGAAAGTCTTTGTCCCACTGATTTGTCCATGGTGTTTTGTTCACATTCTTTCTGTTTGTGGTTTTCAGCCCAAGTCTGCTCCAGCGTGTCCGAGTTTGAGGAGGACAAGACCAGTAACACGTGCCAGTTGGAGATTGGTGTGCTGCGGAAGGGGGAGTCGGTGAGTGCGTTATTACACAGTGTGTACTTATATATTTGTTCCTGCTTTTTTTTTTCAACATTTGAATGTAATTTTTGTTAAATCAAATTTTTTTTAGCTAAGTACATTTGAACGGTTTGCTGACGATATGAACTCAAAACAATTACCTTTCATATCGTCAGCCAGCCGTTGAATGTGACCTTTTTTGCCTTGTGTGTTGTGTAAAAGACGAGATGTTTTGATTTACTACTGCCATTGGTGACCACATTGAGCAAATTGTGTGGAGAACCTGGAAAACTTTCTGAACAGTCCAAGGGTTAAATGTCCTTCAAGGATTTGAAGAGCTCAGGGGAAAAACGACGGTAGTCACAAACTGGAAATTGTGAGGGCGTCTATTTTTTTAAACTTGTCGACCCATAACTTTATATTTGTTTGACTGGTGGTTTATTGTAAGTGTTGTTGAATGGGAAATCTCACAACAAAAATCAACCAACAGTTGAACAGAAATACAATTATGGGTCAACGAGCGTTCAAAATTGGTACCGTCACGATTTTCAGTTTTGTGACTACCGTCGTTTTTCCCCAGTAGTTTTCATTTGATCCGGGACCAGCTGATGGGATGTCCCGTACTGTTTCCACCTTGTTGGAATGTTCATGTTTTTTTCTTATGGTTTTTATCAACACTTTTGAGAGGTTGTTCATTAGCTGTATCTCTTGTAGCAGAGATATATTTCTCATTTTTTAAACCTCAATTGATCATAATATGGTGATAGCTGATGGCTGAGAACGAGTAGAGCTTTGACAACCCGGGAATGTGAAGTTTTCATTTCCTCTAGTTTGAGAGAAGTGTTTATGAAAGCTATTCTGTTTTCTGTGTTTTCTATTTCAGTTGTCAATACCTCATGCATGTGTTTGATTGTTTACTGTGATTTTCTTTTGAAATCATTTTCGTGACTTTGTTTTCTGAGTGTTGAAGGGACCCAAAATCCTTTTGGTGAACAGTGGTGAGAATTGTGGTACAATATTGTGGCACGATGGCTTGTAGGTACTTGTTTTTTTATCCTTATATGTGGCTTTAACTTTTTTTTCTACTTGCAGGCAAAGAAAGAATTCTACATCAAGTGCTTGCATGCTGGAAACAGAACCTTCATTTCCACAGTAAGTCTACAAAATTTGGTTTTCAAAGTTTAAAAAAAAAATTTGGTTCCCCAAGATGATATGGAAGCAGGCATAGTTCTGTCCCGACAAATCTGGTTTTTTCCCTCTCTCTCTCTTCTGGCGCTGTGGCGTCATAAACGGTCAGCGATGCCGACAGCACACAGGAACTCAACAGTCGCTCGGGGGTCCTTGAAAAGTCCTGAAAGTGGGTTACTGGAATGTCCCAGCAGATTTTTATTTTGTTTTTTCCTGTGATGTACATGGGAAACCAAATGAGGAAGCCCGCCTCCTTAATGATCTAAACTGTGCTGATGGGGGCGTAAAAAATGCCAATGTTTAAAGAAAGTGTATCAGGTTGTGCTTGAGGAAGCCCACATGGGTCGCTCATGGATATAACAATCAGGCAGAGACAAATACAGTTTTTGGGACATTTGAATAGACACAAAGGTCTTGAACATCGAATTCTCACTGGCAAGATTGAAGGCAAACGAGGCAGGGGTAGGCCTAGAGCAACTTACATGGAAATCCTGAAGAGATAAACGACAGGGAAAGACCAGGATGGTATAGCTTTTTTGAGAGCATCTGAACAAAGGAATGAGTTGAGAACCATGATCGCCGATTCTGGGATGGATTCTGAAGAGGGAGGGAGAGCAGAGATGGACACGTTCCGACTGCAGTGACCCCAGCACAGTGGACGAGTAAGACAAGTAAGATGGCCGATATTTACCGCGGATCTGACACTTGATGATGGTGATGATGATGATAAATCTATTTTGAGTAAGGTCGTGGATTACAGTTTTTCTGGATCTGCTGTTTTGAATTATTTCTGTTTATGAAGGTTATACCAAGGATAATATGACCAGATTTGTGACGGTGTTTTAATGACTGACGCTTTGTGAGCGAGAATGAGAGCGAGAGCGAGCCTATGATAGTGACGGGTGAACTCACTCTACAACTATAGAACAGGTCACACAGTACAAGGGGAGACATTCATTATAGCTATTTTCTACCCTAGTTTACTCCCATGTACAGTCATTATACTGGCTTTTACCTCTGTCAGCATCTCGCGACCTCAGTGCTTTCTTTTCCTATCTCCATTTTTTTTTAAACAGTGAAAACCTTAAGAAGAAGTCATATTTTCACTGTTAAAAAATTGGAGGTATGACAAGAAAGCGCTGAGTTCACAATCTCTGGTTCTGTGTTGTCCAGGTGAACTACAAGGTGGACGTCATGGTGGACAAGCAAGGAATCTGCTGCGACTGCCAGGCAGAGGAACAAATCTCGCTGACCACCGTCCGGCCGTTTGACGTGTCCATCAAGCTGGAGTCTCTCAAAGTAAGTCGTCATTGTTGACTGAGTCGTTCTAAGCTGGTTCACCCCCCGGGGCAGTGCCACTGACTGAAGTATCTTTAGGCCATTCCCAAAAGGGGGACATTTCTTGTTCAAGCATAGTAGAATTGTAAATGGGCTGACATGGGCTGACTCATGTCACGCTCATAACTGTGCCTGATCTACAACAGGGAACTGCTGCTTTTTCTTTCCTGATCCTCACTATTGTCATTTTCCTCTACTTCTTTTGTATGTTTGTCACTCTCTTGTGACCTGCTATTTTGGGGTACCTTGATAGTCGAAGCAGACCTTGTGCTGTTGAAGCTAGAGAGGTGAGCAGTCTAAGTCTGATTCCCTGTGAAGACTTCTCTGTTGACACCCATCCATTGGCGCTCATATGACCTTATGCAGTTACGAGCGCCGTAAAACCCTCTACTAAAAAAAAAAAAAAGCTAAATAAGCTGGTTTCATCAACCTCAGAGCCCAATTTGAAGTTTTGATTGGCCCATGTGTTTCCCTACACGAATATATGGATGTAAGTTTCAAAATCTATGATGATAAATTTGTACTTGTTTGCCAGCTGTATTTTTCTCTTCGTGTTGAAATCTTTATGTATATATATATGAAAGTAGTACGATTTATATTATATGTATATCTATGTGTGTTTTTCCCCATTTCTCTACAGCCACAGAAAGTTGTCTACTTGGACAGTAAAGTATTATGTCTAATAATCTTAATATGTAAATACCTGCCTGTGTTTTTTCCATTTCTGTACAACCTCAGACAAGTTCCCCCTGGTACAATAAAGTATTACAAATATCTAACAATGTCTAACTATGTCTAACAATGTCTAACTATGTCTAACAATGTCTAACAATGTCTTACTATCTGCGTGTGTTTTGTCCCAGTACGAAACCATCGAGGCGGTCCACGCGGACGACCCGTTCCTGCTGACCACAGACATCCGCTGCTCCTCTCCCTGGTCCATCGACATCAAGGACAGCTCCGTCAATCTGGTACCTTACTCGTTCTTTGTCGTTCACTGTCTGTCACTCCGTCAATCTGGTACTGTGTCAGTGTGTCTATGTGTCAATGTGTCAGTGTCTGTCACTCTATCAATCTGCTCCTCTCCCTGGTCTATCGACATCAAGGACAGCTCCGTCAGTCTGGTAGTGTATTCTTCCACTCTCCTTCACTCTGTCAATCCGGTACTGTATTCTTCCACTCTCCTCCACTCTGTCAATCTGGTACTGTATCATTCTCTTTCACCGTCCTTCACTCTGTCAATCTAGTAGGCCTACTCTTTCTCTGTCCTTCACTCTGTCTATCTAGTAGAATTAGTAGGCCTACTCTTTCTCTGTCCTTCACTCTGTCTATCTAGTAGAATTAGTAGGCCTACTCTTTCTCTGTCCTTCACTCTGTCAATCTGATACCATGTCACTGGCTGTGCATTCTAACTTGACGTCTTTTCAAACATAGACCAGCAACTTTCATCCCTGACCCTTGTGTGAGCTTCTGTTCTTGTATGTTGGAGGGTCAGGAAGTAAAGGATGCTGCCTGCTTTTTTATTTAAAAAACAAAATCTAGCTTTGGAGTTTTATTTTTTTTTCTTCTTTCAAGACAAAGAAATTTTCTTTGCTCTAAGGCAGCACAAGTGAGAGATGGTTTGAAATCCTGAAAGATTCCTTTTTAGTTTCCATTCTTGTGAAGATGTAACTGTGTATGTTTGTTTGTTTTGTTTGGTTTGGTGATTCTCCCTATCTCTCATGTCTCGCGTGAATGTTTCAGAGTGAGTTCATCCACACGGCGTGCGACCCCCATGAGTCTCAGATCGCTGGAGGTTGGTGCATTTTCCTATATATATATAAAAAAAACAGGAAACGTATCGATGGTGTTGTGTTCTAACTGTGCTGCTACAAGAAATAGGTCAACTTTTAAAATGTTTTCTTTCATTGCCACTGCAGGTCGAGGGCTGCCAAGTAAACTATGGTAAATCATATTTTCAAATGTTACAGGACAGACTAAAAAACATATTTTCTTGAAGCGTTTTGGGTGGATAAACTTAATTATCATAAGGGAGCCTAATGTCTGTCATGGCATTTGTAGGCTCTCTTATGAAAATAAAGTTTATCCACTCAAAACGCTTCAAGAAAATACATTTTTTTTGTCTTTCCTGTAAAATTTGAAAAACCTGACTTACCATAGTTTACTTGGCGGCCCTCCAGATGAAAGTTAAGAGTCAGCATGATGTTGTTAATGCGATAGTTGAATGATATCAGGTATTTTGTCTGTAGTTTGAGATTCGCACTGAAGTAGGCCTATTTGTCTGGGCAAAGGGTGAAAATGTTCTTGCTATCCACAGTTTTGAATTTTCATTTGTACGCAATACCAACTAGCTAATGTTGATTTATATTATGGTCGGAGAGGTTGAGAAAGTTGTCTTCAATATCTTTGGCTTTTTTTACTGACAGAGGATTCCGAGGTGGGACGTAAGCTCAGTGGATGTCTTTTGGGGCTTTACAGGAGTTGTCCTGTTCAAGTTGTTAAAGGAGCTTTCTTGAACTTCAGAGGGTTTTTTGTTTTTGTTTTTTTGGCAGTTTTCATGATTCTCTGCCTACTTGGCTTGGTTCATTATAATAATAATAATAATAAATGGATTTATAATGCGCCAGAATCCACAAAAAGTGCTCAGTGGAGCTACAAAACTCACACTCACACACACACACAGACACACACACCCACAAAAGCACTAAAGCTCAGTACCACTATGACATGCTTTAATTTTTATTTTTTTTTAAGTTTTGCCTTTTAAATAACTGTACAATCATGACAGAAGTGCTACACCCATGCAATTACAGGGGATTACAATATGTCCAAATATTCCACGTATTGACACATGCCTGTGTTGTGACATGGTATTGACAGGCACCCATGTTGTGTCCTCAGTACGCCTCCACAAGTCGGACTGCGGCGCAGAGAGCGTGTGTCTGGTGGCCTCGTCCTGCGTCCAGCCCTCCGTGTCGCTCGGCACCTACACGCTCGAGTGGAGAAGGTCAGTGGCTCGTGTCGCGTGCTGGGTGGTGGGGAACGTGGGAATGTGAAGAAGAAGAGGAATCTTCTCCCCCTCCTCTTCTGCTTCCTATTCCTCTTCTTCTTCTGCTCCTCCTCCTCCTCCTCCTCCTCCTCCTCCTTCTTTTTCTTTTTCTTCTTCTTTTTCTTTTTCTTCTTCTTCTTCTTCTTCTTCTTCTTCTTCTTCTTCTTCTTCTTCTTCTTCTTCTTCTTCTTCTTCTTCTTCTTATTTTTCTCCTTCTTCTTCTTTTTTTTTTTAGGGGGGGGGGGGGGGGTGGGAGGTTGTCAGCATCCTTTGTATCCATTTTAGAAGAAAGAAAATCATTTGTGTGTGGGTTTGCCAGAAAAGCATTTATAAAAGGCACAAAAAAGAAATAATTTCCAGTTTCCAAGGAAAGTTTGAGCTTTTAAAGTCGCCACTCCTTGGCAGTCATTTTCTTGCTAATTTTACCTCTACCTAATTCAATCTCTGAAATGTCTCAAATTCTATTCAAAGATAAATAGACACTTTTTTAAAATCAAAAGCAAAACAAATGGACCAGCTTTATGATTTTACCATGCCTCTGCAAGCTCCAAAATTGACGAGCACCCGATTCCATCCTGTTGTGACACATTTGGTCACTTCTAAGGACAAGGGGTTGACCCAGATTTCGGGAGTTTCCAGAAATCTTGACCTACACCAAAAGTGGCCATTGCCTTACCTATAGGAGAAGTTGTTTTTATTTTAGGCAACTGCTTAAGGTCATATGAGCGCCAGAAAATTAGAGGTGTTACAAGAGATTAACAAACATAAAAAAAGAAGAAGGAGAAGTTTGGTTTCATTAATATGTATATTTGTTTGGTTATAGAGAAAACTCTCCTTGTCTTTGAAAGAAACTGAACCTTCGATTTTCTCAAAACAGTATTTTTTTCAGGATAGCCCCCTTGTGCTTAAAAGCGTTTTCGGGATAGCCCCCTTGTGCTTAAAAGCGTTTTCGGGATAGCCCCCTTGTGCTTAAAAGCGTTTTCGGGATAGCCCCCTTGTGCTTAAAAGTGACACATTTGTTCTTCCTCCCTCAGACTGTCGTCCGGTAGCAAAGAGTTGCCGTACGTGCAGAGTCGTTTCCCCTTGCCCACGGTGAACATCGAGCACATCCCGATCACGGTCCACGTGGCCGTGCCGGCGTTCGGCCGCGTCAAGACATTGCTGCCGCTGTGCTACGTGGTGAAGAACCGAACCCCGTACGTTCAGGAGATCCAGATCAGCATGGAGTCCACGGACAGCTTCATGTTCTCGGGGAACAAGCAGGTAAAAGCTTGGGCTACAAGTAGAAAGTACGCAGGGGTGGAAATTTTCCCGTAACTTTATTGAAATCCGTAATTTTGATTTACTTCGTCATTTTCCGTAAGTGGTCTCCGTAAGCGCTCGGTCTACCTACTTTCAACGGTGAGTTATTCTACTATGTTTGTATGTATGTATGGATGACCAACCTCCCTCGGTATTGGAGCAGAAGAGTTACCATCCACGCCCTCCCCTGGTTGTCCCCAGAGCCGGCACCCACCAACCACCCACACTATTCTACCATGACCGTCCTTTGTTGTCCCCAGAGCCAGCTACGAGTGTTGCCGGGCCAGGAGTATAAGCTCCACTACCCTAGGACACCCGCCAATCACCCACACTATTTTATAATATATATATATATATATATATCTATTATCTATTTGTGGTGGCGGAATTTTGCTATTCAAAAGGCTTTTTAATGGCTGCATCGATCAACATGCGGTTTTCGCCAAAAGATTCTTTAAAATATTCTCCAGATCATGACGCCCTTGGTTTTTTCAATTTTGAGACAGTTTTGCTGTAAGAAACTAAACTTCTTTATTTCGCCGATCGCTTTTGTAGGCCGATGCTTCTGTCTCTGTAATTTTAGAAAATCCGGAAGTGATATTTTGCGAAGGCGCATTTTGTTTTGAGAGCATAGATCTATAATTTTTTGCACCTCTCAAGATTTATTGCCCCATTCCAGTAGAGTGTAAATATAGTAGGCCAATGACTTTTAGTTGATATTAAAGCACCGATCATTCCTTTCTTCGAAAGGGGCCCCAGCTAGTGTATATATAGATATATATATCTATCTATCTATCTATCTATGTGTAGACACTACCACCAAGGTCTCTCTATACCCCCAGAGCCAACTGCGAGTATTGCCGGGCCAGGAGTACAAGCTCCACTACAACTTCTTCCCCCTGGTGGCAGGTCAGGTGACCCTTCCCAGGCTGCACCTGGACATGATGCGCTACCCGGGGACCATGGATGACATCATCAACAAGATGCTGCCCACGCACATATTTATACGGGTGAGATACTCACATTTATCACACACATATTTATACGGGTGAGAATGTTATGTTTATTATATAATAATAATAAATAGCATTTGTATAGCGCATTCCCCCGCTCAACAGCAAGCTCTATGAGCTTTACACTATCTATATGTGTGCCCCTAGAGAAAGGTACCGAAAGTCGCCCGAGACCGTTTCGAGCTACAGGCAGATAATGACAAAAATCACTTTTTTGACCAAAATGTGTTTCCTTAAAAAAAAGATAGATCCAACAATTTTTTACTATGTGTTCAAAGGGTTTTCATTGATTTGACTTCTAAATGTTTTATTTTGAATTATTTTGAGGGAAGGGTATATTAAAAACAATAATGAAAACTGCATTTAAAAGGCTAAAAGGTGTTAAGATCTATTCTTGAGGCACGTTTTCTCTTCCCTGCTATGTTTCACCATTGAATTCCATTCATGATATCGATGTCAACTGAATGCCAAATTGGAAGTGAATTTTCCATGAATAAATACATTAAAAAAATCTTTTTTTAAAAAGTTTATATGTGTTCTCACGTTTATTAAACTTAAAAGCTTATTTTCTCCAAATTATATTTTTATTCCTTACCTTGCAAAATGTGCAATATCTCAAAACTACTTGAGATATTTTAAAACTTCAAAAAACCCTGTGTTCATCATTGAATTTCCTATAATTTTGGTACCTTTCTTTTGGCACACACATATTATTACCCCAGCAGATCTTAGAACATTGAGAAACATTCTCAGCTTCCCAGGAAGCATACAGTGCAAGCAGCTGATTAAGTGCTCAAACACTAACAAACTGACAAAATCTTTCGCTGTCTATAGCCGGGTACCCATCCACCTGGATGAAGGGAGGAAAATTACTGTAAAGTGCCTTTCCCAAGGACACAACGTCGGGGTCCCTGACAGGATTCAAACCCTCGACCTTATGGTTACGAGTCTGAGAGTGTAACCACAGGCCACCAACACCACAAGGTGGTCATCTAGAACAATCCTTCGGCTCTCCTTTGTGAAGGATGGCTGTGGGCTGCTGATTTGACAACTTGAGACAGGAAAAGTTGAAAATCTCTGACTTTTAGAGCAAGCAAAGTGTTTGCTGAACTGTCATTTAACAATTTATGTGCTGCAGTTTGATGATTTTTTTTGTTTTTTGTTTTGTTTTGTTTGGGGTTGGTTCTTTTGTGTATATTCCTGCTTTTCCATTTCACTGCTGTCATCTGTTTTTCTTGTGGGTTTTTTTCCTAACCTTCTCTGTTTCCATTAATTTCTCTAACAGAATTTGAAATTTATTTTTTTATTTTTTTTATTTCAGCCTATTGGAAAGACACCCCCAGGATCTACCTAAGGTTTTTAGAACTGCTTTCTTCCTAAGTGTGCAATAGATATATTCATTATAATATTCTGTATGTGGATTGCTTGATGCGAGCTGAATAGATGATAAATAAAAGTTACCAGAGTATGTTATGGTGTTTATATCTGCAAGATAAAAGTTTTCTGAACATATGTTATGTATCGCTTGTATTCATTTTATTTTCCCTCTTTATGGCACTTTTATATATGAGGAAGATTTATGTATGTAAAGAAATGTTAGCTTTTCGTTGAGTGGCTATAAAGGTGTATCCTTGAGCAATACACCTCAGTATTCTCTCTCTTTTATTCTATGTGTCTGTCGGTCTCTGTCTTACTCTGTCTGTCTGTCTCTTCTCTTCTCCCCCCCCTCCCTATACTGTGATGGCAAGTAGTTGTGGAGATGTGTCTGTCTGTCTGTCTGTCTGTCTGTTTTGGACAAATAGTACAGTGCATGCTGCGTGAATGAAAACGTGATGGTTGGTGAATCCCAAAGTTCCTTGAGGACAATTAGAATAGTGGTGATTCCCGTCCTCACATTACTTGCTCTTTTTTTTTTTTTTTATCTTGTTGATAATGCCTGGAAAAAGCGTACTCATTAAAATAAAAGCATCTTGTCTGGGGCATTTTGGACTTTACTTTTAACATTCCAGAAATGTCCATCCTATGTTAACACTGCACACAGAGCAGAGAGCCTTGTATATTGTCCTTATTCACAGCCGTGGTCAAGTCTTCAACCACAGTACCAGTCTATCGATGTGTTTTGTACAATACTGTAATCTACGTGTATTTTCTCCATCATAAAGACAACAAGAGATGACTGGGTCAGAAATCTTTTTTTGGTGAGGCGGTCAGAGTGGGTGCAAGTGGAATGTGTTTTGTTCTGGCGATGGTTTTTAAAAGTATTTTATTTTTCTAGACTTGTGTTTAAAATTGAAGCTTCTGGTGATCATTGGGAATAATTTTCGAGACCGTGTAGCATTTGCAGCTTACAAATAATATGGTGGGTTAAAAGCTTTCTCTAACTCTAAGTAATGACAGTATGGACGCGTTTTATATGTGGTTATTTATCTCTTTGGTGAATTGGGGGCCTCTGCTTGATGGTCTAAATCTGTGAAAACAATGAGGCTAAAATGATCTAATATTCATATTATATATACAGACTGCCAAGTTTCTTCAGAAGTATTTAACACACACACACACACCCTTCCCCCCTCCTTCTATTTGGACAGCTTCGTATCAACGTGTGATCATTTATCTATTCGGGTGGATAGTTTGCTCTCTTTGACGGACAATTGTATGACTGTATGTCGTAAATGCACGTTCGTTCTCACTTTGAATATTTCATATATATAGAAATATTTGTAGTTGTTACTGTCAGAATGGTTTGAATAAACTGAATGTCTTCACTGGTACACAACATGTGGCTTCTCATTATTGACCTTGTCTCTGTTGGCACTCTTCTGTGTTGGTTCTTAAGTTGATCTTAACTAAAAATTCTGGTGTTGTTGAGACTACAGAGGTGAGCAGAGTAAGTCTGATGTTAGGACTTCTCTGTTGACATCCACCCCTTGGCGCTCATATAACCTTATGCAGTTGCGAGCGTTGTAAAATGTTACTAACACTAAAACCTGTCCCCGTGGTTTTCTGCACCCCGCAGAATTCAGCAAAACTTGATCATTTTTTGCATAATTTCTGATTGTTTCCCTTTATCGTTCTTCGTCAAAATTCACAGAATCGCAGAATTTCACATTTCGGGGCTCAGTTTGCTTAATTTCAGAATTTTTCTTGCCTAAAACGACGGGGACAGTAAAACTGAAGATTTGGGGGGAAAAAAGGTTCTGTGATTAGAGTTTATTTCTAGTTTATTTTCTAGTTCATCCCTTATATTTTCTAACTCCTCACAGTATTTTCTAGCTCCATCCCTAGTATTTTCCAGCTCTCCCCAAGTATCCCTAAGTTTTTCTAGATCATTCCAAGTATTTTTAGGTGATCCCCAAAATTTGCCAGTAGTTTCTAGCCCATTCACCATATTTTCGGGCTTATCACTTATATATTCTCAAGTATTTTCTAGCTCATATCAAATACTTCCTAGCTCAATCCTAAAATTTTCTAGCCCATCCCTACTATTTTTAGGTCATCCCCAGCATTTTCTAGATCCTCCCCACTATTTTCTAGTTCATCCCTTGTATTTTAAAACTCGTCCCCAATATTTTCTAGTTCATCCCCAATATTTTCAAGTTCATCCCCAGTATTCTCTAGTATTTTCTAGATATTTCCCACTAATTTCTAGCTCATTCCCAGTATTTTTTAGCAAAACCCCACTATTTTCCAGATCACTACCTCTATTTTCTAGATGATCCACTGTATTTTCAAGCTCATACCCAGTTTTTAATACTTTATAGCTCAAGCACAGTATTTTCTAGCTCATTCCTAATATTTTGAAGTTTATCTCCAACATTTTGTAGCTCATCCCCAATATTTTTCATCTCAACCCTATATTTACTAGCTCATCCTCAATATTAATTTCTAATTCATCCCCAATATTCCTTTCAATCTTATTACAAATATTTTTTAGTTCACCCCAACTATTACGTACATCGTCCCCAGTCTTTTCTAGATCATTCTCACTATTTTCTAGGAGACAATGTAGAAAATAGTGGTGGTGATGTAGAAAATAATTGGGATGATACAGACTGTGTAATATATAGAAAATAGTGGGGAAGATGTAGAAAATATTTGGGATCAGTTAATAAATAGTGGAGATGATCGAAAAAATAATGGGGATAAGGTAGAACATAGTGGGGA